TGGAGCAGCTTTAGTAGTTATTGGGTTAAAGTATTGAAAATATGATTTTGTTAGAATTTTGTAATAGAGGCGTAGTGTTATTTTGGTGAGAGATGCATATTGAATTTCGTTAGAGAGATTTTATTATAATCTGAGATTAATTTATTTGTTAACAAAGTGAATATTTGTCATTGAGTAAGTTCATGTTATAGAAGGTATTGAATTCAGGTTTGACCTCGTGGGACATCATAATATTAGTGTGGTGTGGAGTTGTGTTTCATCTTTGGAGTTAATATCATGGCATTGACTTCAGGGAAGGTAGTGTGTTGTGCAAGTATGGGTAGATGATTTTTCCTTATGTGGTGTGTTAGTTATTGTTGTGGCATCAGGAGAGGTTAACTAGGAGTCACCTCAAAACTTGTCTTAAGTCTAGAAATGAGACTTGTGGATGAGAATTGTTTGCTTGGTGTGTGTGTGTGTCACTCGTGGGAGTGACAAATCATGCTACTTGCTCAATAATTGTTTCTAGTTGGTCGCGTGCGATACCCAAGATAGGATAGTTGCGAAAATTGCTTTTGAGAGTTGGAAAATTTTAACGAGTGGTCGATGAATTGTGATGATAGTTGTGAGGGAAAAACGATTTCAGAAGTTTATAAGTGAAGTTTATTTGTTGTTTTATTTCACCTTATCGTTATTGTTTTGAATTATTGTTGCATGTATTATTGCGATTGGTTTGTGGCATCACCATGGTGGTGGGATCATTAGTTGGGTGACGTTTGGAAGTCACCGGTTGAAATATGTCTGAGAAAAGAGTTGAGAACATTGTTTTCCTATTAAGCATGACCTTATTTTCGCCGAAATTGAGAATTTATCGTTATGGAGAAACTAGTGAGTAAAGGAGAAATAGTCATAAAGAGGACGTATAGAGTCTCATGATATGTAAACCCTTAACTATTTCATAAAATAAATAAATTTCTTTTTCAAACTCTTCAATTTTACAAATCACTTGTATGCGTCTGAAACATTCATTTTTTATACATATAAAGTTTTCTACCAAGAGTAATCTCTTTTAATTTCAAAAGTCAGGAAATATTTTTTTTGGGTGTTTTTGGTTCTTAAGTATTTCAAAAACAAAATTGAGTAAATGCGTGGGCATGGAATACTAGTTGTGTTCTAAGAACGTAGTTTGTGATATTTTGGTTTTGTTGGGTTGTGTTTTGTCGAAGGCCATGATTTGTGGATGGAACTTTTATTAGAATCTTTTCTTCTCATGAGAGGGGGTTGAGGACTTATGTGGTAGTGTGAGGTAATTGTTTGAAGATTTGGTTGCTGAGTGACCGGTAGTTGTTTCTTGGGGTGTGAATGTGATGTGAGAGCTTCTTTCTAAGATTTAAGGTCGTTAGATAACCGATAATTATTCCCTTAAGGTTGAGTCTGTTTGAGACGCGAGTACTATGGGGTTTGTTAGTTGACACCTGTTACTTGACTTTTGTTTCGTAGGATCGATGGACTCTTGTGGCTTGTAGAGGTAATTCTTGTGAATTAAGTTGAAAGAGAGACGGACCACTTTCGAATTGTTGTTCACATCATTTGGGGTGTTGTCAGAATACCAGTGTGGGACTGAAATATGAAAGTTTCTTTTAGATTTCGAACTAGATTTTGAGTGGCTACTGTAATTCTATTGGGAGTTATTCTACCCCTTATATCATTGGGTTGCTTTATCTTCTTTCGTGAGAGCTGTTTCTTTTTCATCATGTGTAATCTTTTGCGTTGGGAGAATCTTCTAGAAACTCATTGTTGAGTAGAGGTCGTTTGTGATTAGTTGGTGGGAGTGTTAATTGCAATATTTGTTTCATTTCGGTTTGTCCAAACTTTAATTCTTGAAGTGTCTAATTTCGGGGACGAAATTTCCTAAGGTGAGGAGAATGTAACACTTTGTATTCCTTGGACTAGTGGGATTGCTCGACACTCTTATTATTGTACTTTGAGCCTCTTTGATTCATTTTAGAATATTGATTGAGGTGGTATCACAATAGTGAAGTAGGATTGAACCAAAAACATTGGTTCAAATAATTGTCCTATGAGCTGTCTTCACTCTTTTACTTTTTTCTATTTCCACACTTTGAATCTGGATGTGAGGCTAGAACCATTGGAAAGCTTGTTTCTGGGACTTCGATTTAGACATAAGAACGGCCCAAAATGGAGTCTGGATGAGGGAGTTATACCCGTTTGAAATTTAAGTACCTGTGCTGGAAGCAAGTCCACTCGAGCGAACTTTTGGCGGCTTGAGCGGTCTGCGTGAGTTACAGAGCTTTCTTTCACCACTTGAGCCAAGTTTTGACTGCTCGATCAGTTTGTTCGAAATTAGGCATTTTAAAGCCACTTTTTGGCTCAAACTTTTCATTCTTTTTTCCTCTCTTCTCTTCCTTTCCTCCATACCCGAAACCCTAGACCTTCAAAACTTGATTTCATCTATTTTTCACCAAGAATCCACCATAGATTTTGTATTAAAGGTGAAGAACAAGAGAAGATCAAAATTTTGACCGATTGGATATGACTTCGTGAAGAGTTCTTCTTGAATCTTGCTCCTTCTCCCCTTCTTGCTTTAAGGTAGGGATTTTCTTTGAGTTTTATATATATATATATATATTTGCAAGTCTATGGTTATTTTGATATTGTTTGGAGTGTGTTGAATTATGATTTGATTTTTATGAGATTATGTTTTGCTCAAAGAGGGGTTTTCTCAAATCTTTCTTCAAATCTTTTAATTTATGAACTATGAGAATGTTTTGGGAGTTTCATGAGCAAAAACTTTTGTTTAAATGAGGAAGCCCTAATTTTGTGACAACCCTAGGCTTAAGGAATTTTGAGGGAAAAATTGTATCGATGAAAAATATGAGTTGTGTGATAGTTGGAGTTTCTAATTGCATTAAAAAAAAAATTTAAAAAAGGAGAAACTCTAATTTTCTTTTGTAAAAACTTAAGACTTAGTGAAATCATGAATTGTTGAGATTCAATTTTGAGAAATGATGAGAAAATTGTTATATTTATCCCTATTGTTGAAATCCCTTGTAAGAGAGAAGTTGATATTGAGAAAATAGTAAATAGTATGTTGTTGTACTTATCTTGAAAAGATGAAGATTGGAAATGATGATTTTCATGTTGAAATTTATTTGGTTTAAAGAGGAAAGAAATGTATTTGATGATGTGTATTTATATATATATATATCTCTTGGAATATATATTGTATATATATATTGAGTAGAGATGTGGAACTTGATCACAATGGAAGATTGTGTAGATGAAATGAAAAAGTATTGAGAAATTTTGAGAAAGTCTGAGGTATTAATATAGACTGTTAAAATTTATCACCTACTTCACCCACTTGAACCTACTCCACTAAACCTAACCCACTACACCCACTTAAACCTACTCCACTAAACCTAACCCACTACACCACTACCACCTCCTCTCCACCTACTACTCCACCTACTACATACCTACCTCCTTTAAATCTTCTATATATAGGACTCATTGTAAACACAAAATACATCAATCAATAATACAATTCTCTATTTCTCTTTATACATTAAATTTTCTACATAGACATATATTGCATTGGCATTTCATTTCATGTTCATTGTTTTTGTTTTGAGCTGGCATTGTTGAGATCACTTTTGAAATGAAAATGGTTTTGTGGAACAAATGTTGTTATTAATAAAAATGGTTTTTGTGGAACAAATGTTATTGATGAACCGTTTGAGGAAAATACGGTGGGAAGTCCGGTTAGGGGGTATAGTTTAAGAATTAAGTTGGCTTGAGTGTCCTTGGTGCAAGATCAGAAACACGCGCGTGTGGGTGCCTAAGCACTCCGGTTAGAAGCCGGTAAGGTAGGATTTGGTAGTGCCTGATAAGCCTACTGGCAGACACTAATCCTGGGGATTTGCCTGAGTCGTATCTACCATTCTTTGTTGTTACATGGATATCATTGGATTAATTATATATATTTTTTTTGACAGGCATTGTACATAAGGCTTTCAAAAGAGAAAAATTATCTTTTTGATGTTTTTGAATGACATGTGCATCCATCTCATGAGACTGTATAAAATGTATATACTTTATTAAGAATTCTTTATTGGGCTTTGTGCTCACCCCTAGTGGATTTTGTTGCAAGAAAAGCAGTTGTGACCCCGCCAAAGTAGAGGCGTGGAGAATAGTTTTGGGAGCACGAGGCTCTTATCTTTTGTTGTTTTATATTTGATAAGCCAAGAGCTATATTTGTGTGGATTAGAAAACCATTTACCTGTGATCTAGGCAAGGCCTTGGAAATTTGTAGCCTCTAAGGCATTATCTTGGATAAAATTGAAGAATGATTTGACGTGATTATGTCAATTGTTTTCATGTTGTAAAATCAAGAAATATAATGAAACAAGTAGTTCAATTCTATTTAAGTAAAAAGAATCGCATGTGTGCATGTCAAATAATTACACGAGAAGTTATAATTCTGCATGTTTAAAGGATATTATGATGGATTAGTATGCCTATTTTTTTGGGGGACGTTACAGACACAGACACAGACACGGACATGGCAATTTGAAAAAAATAATAAATTTAAAGACAAGATATAAATATTCATGGTGGGGATATGGCAAAAATATATATATATATATTTGCTATGTATATAAATATAACAACCACACAACCAAGAATAATAAAAAAGTAACACTAATTGAATAATGAAAAAGCAATTAACTTCCAGAATAAATAGTCTGTCCATCAAAAATATATAAATCACAAGTCAAACAATATAACAACCAATACATCATTACAATCTGTGATATACAGAGTGTGTCCGAGCCGTGTCTATGTTTGATACATGTTGGACACTGCCACGACACCCATTTTGGCGTGTCCATGGTTCCTAGGCAAAAACAAATAAATGATTCATCACATTAAACTGAGTTGCATCTTTCACCTAAAAATTGAAGTTAAATAACAAAAGATCATGAAACAGAACATACCTTAGACAAGCTCTCAAAAAGCATTTCAAAGAAGAGATCAATGCCAACATTACCAATGTCCCCTGTTTGCTGCTCACCAAAAATATTGCCAAAACCTCTTATGGCCATATCTCTTTCTGCCAGTTGGAAGCCTTGGCCAAGATCACGACACTCTTCGAGGGCTACCAGCCTCTCCTAGGTACCAAAACTGTGAATATTACTTTACAACATATAGGAAAGAACACAATATTGTCTCAGAAATAAGCCAATGGGTTCATAAAAAATATAGAAATGCAAAAACTGTTTGCTTCAAACAGAAGAAATGGTAACACACAAAGGCAGGATAACATCCAGACATTTCATATGGAAAATACCAGTGCTTGATCAGAAAGCAGCGACTTATTGGGGTAAAATAAGTGTGCGTGAGCTTCCTTATCTGCCCTCCCCACCCTTCCACGCAGCTATTGAAAAAAATGCAAAAGAAAAGAGAAGAAATAAAACCAAAAAAAAAAAAGGAAAGAAAAAAGAAAAAAAGATTCAGAAACCAATGACATCTCATTTTATCCAATAAAACCATCACCACAAATAGAAAGGTGGGTTAATCAATTCTAGCATGAGAGAGCAGGAATTTGACAAATAATTCACAAATTTGTATAAGCAAAGCCATGGTACATAAATATTTCCTTTTGACAAATAATTCATGGTATTTGCAAAACTGTCACTATTTAAGCTGAACTTGAACTTTAACAAAATGGGAAAATGTGTAATTTGAATATGAAGACCCAGTGTAATTTTTCCAAACTAATGGGGCCATTGTCTTTATCCCAAATAATAGGGAAGGTCAATGTAATTTATCCTAATATCAAATATTAACGCAACTAAAAAAGGCTCTAAACCCTCCTTGAAAGATAAACCCTAAGCACCTGCTACGCATCGTTCTTGACAACATTTTTTATGCAGTCCACAAGGAGGAAAAAAGTAAAAAATAAAGAGGCAACCAACTTTAGAAATTGGTTGGTTTCGTGCTAAACTCAATTGGGATTAACTGGAAACATCTATAATTAAGTTTTTAGGCTTCATAGAGTCTAACACTATGACTATTTAGACTAGGTATTAATTTAGTCAATCTTCTAAATAATTTATTAAGATTTATAGCTCAAGAATATTTTGGAAATTTTTAAAATTCGTGGATATAGGTTGTAGGGATAGCCCATGGGTCAAATATGCAATGGGGTTTTATTTATGGGTCTCATATTGGTTTAAATAGGTTTTGGAAGTCAAAGCCCTATTAGGACCAGGAGTTCTATGAAGTCTATGTAAGATCACGAAATATTTCTAATTCAATAGAATTGAGCTTTTAGAGAATTGTCAGAACATTGATGTGACTTCTGCATTTTTTTTCTTCCTCCTTTTGAACTATTCTTATTCTTCTAAATGCTTTGCCTTCTGAATTCATCTTCTGTTGAATTTCTGAATTCTTCTTATTCTTTTGAATTTCTGAAATTTGAATAATTTTCTTCAAAAGAAAAATAATTCAGAAGCAGAGGACTCAAGAGAAGAATTCAGAAAAAGAAGATTCTAAAGAAGGTGTGATGCCTAAAATTAGGTACAATGACTAGACTTTCTTCTTTCTTTTCTTTTTCTGCATAATTTGCATTATCAATCAAATTCCAACAAACTACCAAGCTTATAATCTAGTCAGATCTCTTCCATCATCAAACCTTAAATTGAAGCATTATATAATACAACCATCCCCTAAACTTATTGTTCAAGGGTACTGCTCCCAGCACCCTAAACAACCTCAAAACTTTAAATTCCTTGTTTTAATTCAAGCCTTCAACTTTAACTTTTTTTTATACCTTTTATAAACCCTAAAGCCCAAAAATTTCACTATTTTCACTTTTTCAGAATTAAATTTTTTTTTTTTAAAATCAAAACGAGTTTTTGAAAACAATACCAAATGAACCCCATAAGAATTCTCTTGAGCCCTTCATACGAAATAAGATACCAATCTATGAAGTACCAACACTTCAAAATAGGTGTCGGAGCCATGTCGAACACTTACAGGACACAAACACAACAGGTACATGTGTCCAACATGCCACATGGGTCCGACATGCCATGTGGCATGTCCATAAAATAATGTTTTTCATTCGACATGGTGGGGTCTTATTTTAATTTATAAAAACTAATTTCAGGGCTCATATTATAATATTTGAAACACGAGGGTTGGAATTAGTTTGTTCTGAATGCTAAATTAGTGTTAATTTTTATTAATTTTGGTTTTTTATGGACATAATATTTATATACACAGTAAAGTACATATATTTTCCGTATCCCCATTATTTCCATGCATTGATTTTTTTGAAATCGCCATGCCCCATATCTGTGACCGTGTCGATTGTGTGTCTGCCTTGCAGAATTTTCAAGCTAAGAATTTTCTGCAATTGCTCTTTCAAATTCCATGAATCATTAGAAACTCAAATAAGAAATTGTGCAAGAGTGTGAACAAACAAGGAAAAACCTGGTACAATTGTGCCAGGCCAAATTGTTGAACATCCTGAATTATGATGGTATTTGCATTTTGAATGTCAAGCCCACTTTCTACAATGTTTGTGCATATGAGAATCTTGACTTCACCATGTGCGAATTTTTCCATGGTTTCTTCAAGTTGCTTTGAGTATTGCTGCCACAAGGATACATTAATATGTTAAGATAGTACATAATAGTTGATGTTTTGTTCATTCATATAAATGTATATATGCATATATAATAATATAATCATGATTTACTCCTGAAGCATAAACATGAGCTGGTACAGCAAGAAAGTAAAACCCTATGGTAGCGTTTGGTAGAGTTTTGTAAATGTGATTTGAGAGTATGAGTTGTATTTTGAGTTTGTGTGTTGTAGAATTATGATTTGAGTGTAGAAAATTTGTTTGGTTAAGAGTTTTGAAAAGAGTTTTGATTTGAGTGGGGAATTATTGATGTGACATTTGATATGTGATACAAAAATTTATAACTCATAACTAAACATACAACTCAAAATTATTTTAAAGCACATAAATTTTTTTTAAAAATTTCAGAAAATGTTTTTTTCGATTATATAAATCAATTGCAAAAAAAAAAAAAAAAAATTCACTATTCCGGACGACCGGCCGGACGTCCCGTCAGGCAAAATTTTCAAAAAAAACGCTGAAATGCGCGGCTGAGACAGAGCAGAGACAGAGCTCTCTGCAGAGCGTTTGAAATGTGATTCCAAAACACTAAACAAACATCATACTCAAACTATGGTGTAGAATCACGTTTTGAAATCACAACCAAACACAGCCTATGTTTTTTTGTAATGCATAAGAAATTATGAGATCATTGCACTGAGTATCGAGTAACATGTGCTGCAATTAATATCGTGGGACAACTAGATAACCAGTCATCATACAGAATCAAAGTAACAAATTTTGACTATTTTATCTGCTATATTCATTTATCAACTAGAGAAGTAAATTGTTCGAAGTCACCAAGTTCTCAGTATCATTATGGAATAAAGAGAGATCACAATAGGTTCAGGAATGTTAAAACTGGACAACATATGAAAAGCCCAACAAAGTTTAGGAAAGGAGTTACATGACAATGATTAAGATACTGAAGATAGCAAGCCAATGGATGACTTGTGAATTCCTAGTAGCATCCCAGCCTATGTGCCAACCGAAAAATAAAATGCATGCTATAGTTCTAAAATTGAAAGAACTAGGGGTCACAACAAATTTTCACTATTGGACAATAGCACGGGCCTAACATTGTTTTGGTTGTTTACTTCTTGTTATAGATTTATGTAAGTAGAACAGAAGAAGAAGAGAAAAAGATAAAAATTGAGAAGAGTTGAGGCAGAATACGTAGCAGAACACATAAAGCTGAAAGTACAAAAATGCCCCTTCTAATAAATGATAACTATCACATATTGGGCAACAGTTTCATATAGAAACATAAAGTTCAATGCATACTCCCATTCCTGGTTACAAAATGAAACAGCTTACCAGAATCTTCTCTTCACCTTTCTTTTTTTTTCTTTTTCTCCTGAGATGTATATCTGCATTGTTTGAGATAGTTTGGCAATGTGCCACGTAAACATACTAGCACAACAATGAGAAGTGAGTTTATCCAAGTCAAAGATGCAAAAGGACAAGAGGAAAGCTGAGAAAGACATGGGGTTGAGGTTGTGAGAAAGGACATGATTGACTTGGATTTGACCAAGGATATGGCTTTTGAATAGAGCCCATTGGAGAAAACAATCTCCACGTAAACCATCCTCAACTAATTTGGACTAAATCTTGTTTAGTATGTGTACCTACATCATTTAGAGGAATTTGACCTCATGACCCTTAAATGTTGTTTATGCATATGGGAATTTGATAGTTGCCGAAATGTACACATTAAGCCCCTTAAAGTATACTTGTTAGGTCCTTTAATCATTGTTACTTGATGATTTTAATATGTTTGTGTATGTGCAGGCCACTTAAGCTTATGAGTAGAAATTGGACTTTAATTTCATATTTTGTAAAAGAAATTGATAGAGAGAGAATAAATTGTATGTATTATTGATTGATATATGTTATTAATTACAAATGGTGAGGGGCTCCTTATATAGGAGATGTAGTGGAGTAGGTGGTAGTAGGTGGTAGTGGTAGGTGTGTAATAGGTGGTAGTAGGTGGTGGTAGGTGTAGTAGGTGGAGTAGGTGATGGTAGGTTTTAACAGCCCCCCGCAAACTCAAGGGGGATAGGAACTGTTAAAATCCACCTACTCTCCACCTACTTCACCCACTTAAACTGTTAGATTTGCATAAAAGAAAGAAAAGGAAGAGAACTGTATATTATTCACACTCATAAACCTATTAGGGTTACACATACTTATAATAAAAGACTAAAGGAACAAAAGACATAACTATCCTTAACTACCCTTATACAATAATACTTAACACTCCCCCTCAAGTTGGTGCAAAGATATCTCTCATGCCCAACTTGCAGCAAATAGGATGGAAAACTTTACTACTAAGACCCTTAGTAAAGACATCAGCCAATTGATTTGCAGACTTCACAAAAGGCATACATATGAAACCCTTATTCAATTTCTCCTTGATGAAATGTCTGTCAATCTCAATATGCTTGGTTCTATCATGCTGAACAGGATTGTGAGCAATACTAATGGCAGCTTTGTTGTCACAGTACAGTGTCAATGGTTCACTACAAACAAACCCAATATCATTCAACAAGGACTGGAGCCACATCAATTCACATGTACCATGCGCCATAGCCCTGTATTCTGCCTCTGCACTAGATCTGGACACCACTGTTTGTTTCTTACTACGCCATGTCACTAAATTTCCCCCCACAAATGCACAATAACCGGAGGTAGATCGCCTGTCATCTATAGAACCAGCCCAATCAGCATCTGTGAATGCCTCCAACCTCAAGTGACCATGATTGGAAAATAAAATCCCTTTTCCAGGAGCAGATTTAAGATACCTCAAAATACGATACACTGCATCCAAATGAGGGGCACGAGGCTCATGCATAAATTGACTCACTATCCCAACCGCATAGGCAATATCTGGACGAGTGTGGGATAAATATATAAGTCTTCCAACAAGTCGCTGGTACCTTTCCTTCTCCACAAGATCACCAACACCACTACAAAGATGGTGATTAGCCTCAATTGGAGAATCAGCAGGTCGGCAGCCTAACATGCCAGTTTCCTCAAGAAGATCTAGAATATACTTTCGCTGAGAAAGAAAGATGCCTTTGTCAGATCTGGCAACTTCAATCCCAAGAAAGTACCGCAATGAACCAAGGTCTTTGATCTCAAATTCCTTGGCCAACAGCATCTTAAGATGTGTCACTTCTTCCTCATCATTACCTGTCACAACTATGTCATCCACATACACTATAAGCACAGTTACCTTATTTGCGTGACGTTTGACAAACATTGTGTGATCTGCATTGCTTTGCTTATACCCGAACCTCAACATAGCCTTTAGGAATCTGTCAAACCAAGCCCGAGGAGATTGTTTTAAACCATATAACGCCTTTTTCAACCTACAAACTTTCCCAACTGTAGACTGAGATGAGAATCCTGGTGGTATATCCATATATACCTCCTCCTCCAAATCACCATGGAGAAATGCATTCTTCACGTCTAACTGCTGTAAAGGCCATCCCAAATTAGCTGCACATGAGAGAATAGCTCGAATGGAATTCATCTTCGCCACTATATATATATATATATAAAATAAAGAAAGTGGGGAACAAGAGTGTAATGAAAAGAAACAATATAGGTTGGAGAATCTGAGCATCGTGGGGCACATGGGTGAGTGGTGGTAAAGGAAGTAAAAGAAAAAAATAAAGAAATGAGTGGGTGACCCGGTGGATGTCCTTGAGTAGAGAGAGAGAGATTTACACATTCAGAAATTTTGCTTCCAGCAGAGTGTGTAGAGTGAGCAAGCCTTCAAAACTTGAAATACCTAACACCAATTTATCTCACCTTCCTAGACAGCAGAGAAATCAATCTTGGATGATTTTAGTTTTTATGAGGAAAGAGAAAAAAAAAGAAAAGAAATGGAATTCAATTTATATATATGTATATGCTTACATATTAAAATATAGATAGAAGAAATTATGATGAGGTGTTGGGTGGGAAAAATGATAAATTATTGTAAGAGAGAGTGGGTGGTTCATGTGAGTAGTCTCGTGGGTGATGAGAAAAAGAAAAGAAAAGAAAGTGGAAGAGAGTGTGAACATATTGATGAAGAAAAGTGGGAACCAACCCATGTGGGGGGAGGTGGTGTGTAGGGTATTCAAACACTTAATTAAAAGGAAGAGAGAGAGAGAGATTGAGTGGGTGCCCCCATGTGCGTTGCAGAGAGGACTGGTGTGAGTTGCCTGCTGCTATGGCCAATGTTCAGTGGGTGGAAACCATCCACATCTTTCTCAATTGAAACAACATTTAAGATTTTCTGCTCATTCATATGGGAAGGCAGAGGTAACTGAACAAGAATGCCATGTACTGAGGGCTCATCATTGAAGCCTGAGATATACTTAAGCACTTCCTGTTCTGTGGAGTCTTCAGGCAAATGCGCTTCATAGGAATTGATCCCCACAGATTCACAAGCTTTTTTGTTGTTGCGTACATAAGTTGCAGAGTCCTTCCTATCACCAACTAGGATAACTGCTAATCCTGGAACAACACCAATAGCATCCTTCATCCTTGATATTTCAGCAGTTATCTCATCTCTGATTTGCTTTGCAATTGATTTTCCATCAATGATCATTGCAGAGGTTGCAGATGCCATGACAGCAGTGAGAACAGAGGGAGAAGAAGATGAGTGACCGTTGGCGACGATGGTTCTCAGGAGGCTATGATTCGAAGGTGAAAACTTGAAGGGCATCGACCAGTGAGAGTGAAGGACGCTGAGTCGACTCAGGGGCAGAAACCGAGTCGCCGCCGCGGTAGAAGATGAACAGTCCGCGAAAATCACCGACGCCATTTTGAGGAATTGGACTGTCAGCCCTATGCTGAGAAACTAGGGTTTTACAGGTTCTGTGTGTGTGTGTGTGTCTTTCTCCCTGAATTTCAATACAGAGAGAGAGAGTTGAAGATGCAGCGGAGTGAAGGTATGTGTAGAAAACTCCAGCGGGCAGTGAAGGCAAGGTTGCCGGCCGACTGCCCGCCGGTGAGAAAGAAATATAGGCCTAAATCTTATAGCTCTGATACCATGTAAAATAAATTGATGAGTAGAAATTGGACTTTAATTTCATATTTTGTAAAAGAAATTGATAGAGAGAGAATAAATTGTATGTATTATTGATTGATATATGTTATTAATTACAAATGGTGAGGGGCTCCTTATATAGGAGATGTAGTGGAGTAGGTGGTAGTAGGTGGTAGTGGTAGGTGTGTAATAGGTGGTAGTAGGTGGTGGTAGGTGTAGTAGGTGGAGTAGGTGATGGTAGGTTTTAACATATTTGAAACCCGAGACCAAGCTCCAACTCAACTCTGAAGGCCTAGAAGAATCTAAATGATTTTAATCAAGCAAGAAAAGCCCAACCCATGAAGTTTGAAAAAATAAAAGTTAGATTTGATGCAATCCCGCTAGAAGAGTCACTCTGCACAATATTCGGTATTTTGGACATATCTCTCTCATCTGATACCGGATTAAGGTGAATCAAGAAGTATTGCAAAGCTAACGTAAAGGGTTACAATTTTGTGTGAAATAGGAATTCTCCAATTTTGACATTTACTAGGTCAAAATGGGTCTGCAAAATGAGTCAAAAAAGTTGGGAATAATTCTATCCGAATTTTCCTTTTATTTTGGAGAATTCTAGCCTTTGTATTATTTAGATGTGTCTTATGTATGTAAATAGAGGAGCCTATTGATCATTAGGGTGATTGAGGATTCTAGAGAAAAAGTGAAGAGAGGCAAGGAGAAGATGTTTTTCACCTCAACAATGAGCGGCTAATCTTCTTCTTCAGGATTGAGATGAAGCCCTAATCAAGTAACTTGTATTAATCTATTGTGATTTTAGTTTTGATTTAGTTTGGATAATCATTGTATAACTTTCAAAGATTATTTATTCAAGTAAAGTTTTTATCTAATGAATGTATTTGATTTCTCGGTAGAGGGAAGTGTTAGGGGAAGGGGCAGATTTAGATTGACGTGAGCTAGTGTAGTAAATAGAGATATGAATCTCCTTAATTTGACTAACCAAATCGCCTTCAATAGAGTTGAGTGGAGAAGAAGGATTCATGTGGCCGACCCATTTGATGGGACTTAAGGCTTGACTTGGTTTGATTTGGTTTGGTTTGGTTTGGTTTGGTTTGTTTTAATGTATTCGATTTTTGTCATTGAGAATATATTGTTATACAATTGTTTTATTCGTTTGTATATACAAACTATGAGACGAGTCATACCTAAGGAAGACGAGTTATGTTATAACCCTAGTTTAGTGTAGACAATTCGTACCAACCGAAGATGATTCATGCCTGCGATTTGATTATCCTCATTCTGTTGACGATAATATCAAGGCTTGTAGCCATGATACATCGCTATTATCCGAATCATTGATTTACTAGAATTCAATAAATTAATTACTTGTTATGAGATTAGAGGTGGATTCGAAACCCCAAACTATTTTCTACTTCAATTCCACCTCAATCTTTCTTTTTGTATAATAATTGTTTTTAGTTAATTTTAGATTAAAATCAAAATATTCATCTGATTTGAATTAATTAAGAATTGATTTTCTAATATTTAAACAACTTAGTCTATGAGTCCCAGTGGATCGATACATGAACTTATCATTATTCTATAGAATTGAGGTTTAGTTTAGTTCTTTATTTTTTATGTGAAAACGACCTACCAGAATTCAATGCATTATCAATGGTATTATAGACTTTAAAGATTTAATTTTTTCTATCTTATGTGTCAACAAATTGAACTAATTTTCAATTAAAAGAAACCTATCATGCAAAACTGCTAATTAGGTGTTATGCTGATTTGATAAAGAGATCATCATATTTGGGTGTTGGAATTCTAGAAGATGATTAGAAGAAACCATCCTCAGTTGTATTAACATATTCGGTTCGGTTGCTGGTTTGAGGGCAAAACCGACTTGAACCGACCCATGAACACCTTTAGTGTGCACTAAACCAACTAACATTTTAATAGCAATTAGACAATCACTATGAAGCACATATACTTTTAAAAGGGAGGAGTCGTACCCATATCATACCTGTATTGGATAGCGATACTTCTCGGATATTCGCACATACATATTTGATACTTCCTAAACATATTTGATACTTGATCTTAATTTTGAAAAGTATTAGACACTTTTTGAACACTTTAAGTCACGTATCCAAACTATTATGAATTGAAATTGTAATAAATTTTGCATATTATTAGAGTATAATTGTTAGAATAAATACAAGAATAGTTTTCCAATATTTTCTTATTTATTACATGAGAAGAAAATAGTGAAATTGAAGCAGTACTCTACTATTTCATTTTTTTATCAAATTAGTGTATTCATTGAAAAAAAGAAACAGAAGTAAATTGACTATTGGCTCTTAAACTAATATCTAATTCTTAAAGAATGGTTTCTCACTATTTTTTGACTTCGTGTATGACATATTACCGAAAATTATAAATAAATAAAAATTCAACGTATCCTAGCCGTAGCAACGGGTAGGGTATGGGTCGGGGGGGCCCTAGTGGGAGAATATTAGATTTTATGTATGTATGGTAGTATATATATTCTGTATATATATTAGGGATTGAGTGTATTTTTGTTTCCTTTTCAGTTCTAGGGTTAGATTGCTATATAAATCGATATATTCTTGTATTACAAACACACAATTGAATATACAGATTCTTCAGAAATCTTACATAGTATCAGAGCCATGCTTGAAAACCCTAATCAGCCTCCGAAGTCGTGCTCACTATCAGCCTCTGATCTCGTTAGAATAGTGACCCACCAACCGGAATCACGACCCATATCTTCTTGTGAAGTTCCTTGTTCCCATCTTTACTTCCATTCACAAACTTGAACCCATCTGCCTCATGACCCACCTAGTTTCTGGTTCGTGAACATCAAAATCGTGACTCTCTCTCTTTATCTCTAGTTTGTGATTTTGTTCTCACTCATTTGACTTCAACTTTGACTTCAGATTCTGATTCGTCTCTCTCAACTTCAGTCTCCTTCCGTCCCTCTCTAGTTCTCGAAGTCTCTTTCTGTGGTTCTCGATTTGTTCGGTGGTTCTCAGTACTGCTCTCAGACTACTTGTGTATTACACTTAACACCCTATTTTAGGTTTATTACACTAAAACCCCCAAAGTTTCTGTTTATTATAATTTGCTCCATTAGTTCTCTTCTTTTTTTGGTTCATTACAATGTGAGAGGATAAAATTCAAGCAATCAAATGCAAACTCATTGGTGCCAATTATGCTTATTGGTCCAGTGTTGTGAAAATTTTTCTACTTGGTCGAAAAAAATGGGGATATGTTTTTGGTTTTGTTCTTCGTCCATCGAACCCGAAACAAGAAAGATATCTAACTTCCTGTGACACTTGGGATTGTGATAATGCCCAAGTTTTGACCTGGTTTCATAATTCTGTGGATGACCGCATTTGAATGATGATTTCCAAATACAGCACTGCCAAGGAGGGGTGAGATTATTTATCGGGTGTTTATCAGCAGTCTAACTTTGCCAAGTAGTATGAGGTGGAAATAGCTAGTTAGAGTGCTTGCCAATGGGATTAGACTATACAGGATTTCTATATTGAGATGACATGTCTCTGGGATCGGTTGGCTCTCATAGAATCATCTAGCCTTAAGGTACTAGACGCTTATGTTGAGTTTTGGGAGCAGGATTGTTTAGTGCATTTCTTAACGGCTTTCTCCCCTCAGTATGAGGCTATCCGTGGTGGCATCCTTCACTGGTCTCCTCTTTCCTCTGTAGATGCTATTGTTCGTGAGAAAATCCATCTTAAGAGGGCCAGTTAGACTCTGCCTCCCTCTGTCTTCTTGGCTCTTGCTAAGCCTTCTCTGTTATTAACCCCGCCTCCTCATCAGCTTCATGCCACTACAAAGCCCAAGAAGGGGCAATTAGGTCTAGATGAGTGTGCTTTCTACCATCAGAGGGGTCATTAGAAGCACAACTATCCCAAGAAGGGACATTAGCCTGCTCTATCTTCTCAGCCACCTTAGATACAATTCTGACTGCTCTGCTCTGTCTTCTCAGTCTGCTCTGCTCCGAGTACTTTCCGACCTCCTGTTGCCTATACTGCATTTGCTTTGGCTCCTGATCCTGACTTGGCTTCCTTGAGTGCTCAGATTGCTCAACTTTAGCATATCTTGTCCACCTCTCAGCCATTCCCATCTACCTCCACTCTTACTTCTCTTCATTCAGGTTTGCTTGGGTCCTCTTCGGGCATCCCTTCTTCTGTCTGACTTTTTTATTCTGGTGCCTCTTATCATGACTCCTCACCTTTCATTACTTCAGAACTGTATTCCCCTTCATGTTCTTATTACTGCTCATACTGCTAATGGATCTGGTATGTCTGCTCTATCTATTGAGTCTGTCTTACCCTCTGCCATGTTTGCTCTTACTATTCCCTTTGTTTTTTATGTCCCTCAGCTATCTGTTAGTTTATTATCTATCAATCAACTTAATGCTTCTAGTTTTAATGTTATCTTTTCTTCTTCTGTCTGTTATGAGTAGGATCGGGTGTCTAAGAAGCAGCTTGGGATCGGCCATAGAGTTGGAGATCCCTATGTGGTAAAAAGCTTGCATCTCCCTTTATCCACTTCTCCAATTGCACTTTCCTCGTTTCAGTTAGATTTTTAGTCGAGTCAGTTTTATTTATGGCATTCTCGGCTAGGTCATTTGTCTGTTGACTGCTCACGGTCTTTAGTACAGTCAGGATTGTTGGATAAAATTTCTCCTAGTCAAATTGATGAATGTTGGTAGTGTAAACTTGCCAAAATGTCTGTTTTACTATTTAATAAAAGTACTTCTATTTCTGTTTCTCCTTTTTCTCTTGTGCATACTGATGTATGGACCCTTGTTCTCACTAAAAGTGGTTCTGCTTACTATGTGCCTTTTATTGATGATTGCACCTGCTATACTTGAGTTTATC